TGTATTATATTTTATATTGAATAAAATATATAAATAAAATAGTAATACTAAAAAAAAAAAAAAAAAAATACAAACTAAAAATTAGGCATTCTTGTTATTATATTAATAATAATTTAGATATTTTTTATATTTTAAATAATTTATAAATTTTTATTTTTATATATATTTTTTTTATTATAATATTTACCTAAATTTAAATATATATTTTTAGTATTTTTTTTTTTTTTTGCATACAATTGAAGATGTTGATTTATGGTCGTAGCCGAAAAAAATAAAATATATATATTGTATATATCTACAAATTATATTTTAACGATTTCATTTGAGAGACTGAATAAACATTTCTGTCCTTTCCACATATCATATTTTTAAGATTTTATTTGAGAGATTTTGAAAAAATTCTGTGATTTTCAAATATTACATTTTAAATATTTTATTCAAGAGAAATTCTTCAACAGTGCCGCCAGCCTGACGAAGCTGTATCCCAGCGTATGCCAGCAGTGGGTGCATTTGCTCACATGCACACACACATGCAAGTGGAGTATTTTGCCAGTTCCGCGTTGTCGCTGGTTTTCCTGCTTGCCAGTGACTTGTTGATTTTACAACTTTTCAATTGAACGAACTGCAGCGTACGAGTCAGCAAATGTTTGCCAAGCGCAGGAGCAGAAGCAGGCGGGGATAAATTTATTTTCAATTATGCATGAAAAATGTCGAGCAGTGGAATAACGTAGTCGTTATGCTTATGCTCGGTGCACGCAGCACGGCTAAGAGTATCAGAATGCAACTTAAGTTGCAACGCAAACAAATGCCAGCGACATATCGCAATTTTGACAACCAGGCATTAAAATATCAGTGCTATCCCCAGCTAACCATTTCCCCATATCCGAGCCCACTTCCCAGACCCGTTCAGCTACTATAAATATATATATATATATTTAGTTATATATGTGTATATGCCAGCCAACTGGCATGCGACTTCAAAGGATTGCAAATCAAGCAAGGCACGTACTTGAGCTGGAATTGAAAACTCCATGGGATATCGCCCGCTGCAGGAGGCAGCAGACGGTGCAAACAGCCAGTGGCCTGGCCTGGCAGGCAGACGGGCGAGGGGTGCTCCGTGAGTTTAGGTAGCGAAAATGGAAACGCAAATAATATTGAGTATGGCGACGACTTTGCCGTGTTTGTCGCCTCGCGCTACCACTGGAGACTGTTATTGTGTTTGCCCTAAAAATAACCAGAAATTGCTTGGGTCTAGATTTGTTTACACAAAGGCGTTGGGAAATTGGCAAAAATGGTCGAGAATCTAAACAAAATAAATAAATAATATAGCGGGCGTTCGTTCACTCGTTCGCTCTAAGGCAATGCTCGTTCCTATTGACAGGCGGCGTCAGTTGTCAGTACTTTTCTTGTGGTTGATGCAAGTGTCGCCCGTTGTTGTTGTTTTTGTTGTTGTTTCTGTTTCTGTTACTGTTGTTGTTGTCAACAACTTTTTGGCAGCGTCTGACACTTGACACTTAATGTGCATCATTGCGCAGCTGACAACTTCAAGCTATTTCCGTGCTGGTGCCAGCAGCCAAGCAGTCAAGCAGCCAAGCAGCCCAACCCACCTCACCCACCCAAAGCAGCAGAAAGCGCACTTTGTTGTGCTCTCTAAAGTCGGAGCAGCTTCCTCTCAGCTCTCGCCGCTGTCATTTCAAAGCGAAAGTTTTGCATGGCCATAGAAAAAATCAAATAACAAATTGCAGTCGCAGCTGGGAAGTGGTGGGGGAGGGGGGTGAGCTCGGTGCACTCTCTGACATTTTTATGAGCAGCTGCAAAAGATTCTCGTCGTTCGCTTCTATTGCTCTTGTCTGCTTGTTTTCCACCAAAAATTTGTTGTGCGTGAAAAGTTGTGCGTTGATATTCTGTCTGTTGTCTGTTGTTGATATTGTGGTAAAGGCAACAGCATAGCGAGGCTAGGCGGAAAGATTCGATATATCATTTGGCCACAGCTCGATCAATGCCGATCGAGTTGTTGCCCGCAAAGTTTCCTCGCCAAGGACCTGGCCACAAAGGTGAGAGCTGCAGTTGGCGGTGCAGCCAGCCACTCAGAAGGCAAAACAGCTGTTGGTAATTTACTGCCAGGCGGCCGAAAAGAAGGCGCGCCTTTCGAAAACTTTGCTGTGGCAGCGGCATCGGCCATACTGCGCTGTGGGCAACATTTTGACTCCACTCTCCAACTTTCAATTAAGCTTAAAAGGACACAAGTTTGCAGTGCCCTACGGCCGGCAGCCTTCTGCTGGCATATTTCAATAAGTTTTTCAAACTCAGGCCCGTGCACTAAAACAACATAATTCATACTTAACTCACCAAAACAGTTTCCTGGCAACAGGGGCGTGGCAGGCGGCCAAGCGGGCAAGGAGGCGGCTGGACTGCTGCAAGTGCGCTGTAAAAAAGGCAAGGCGGGAAATAAAATTGCATTAGCTGGGCATAGATTTTATTGTGACTGTATGTTTTTGCTGGCGAGTGTGTGTGTGTGTGTGTGTGTGTGTGTGTGTGTGTGTGTGTGCTGGTGTGTATGAGCTGCCAAAGATTTTGGGACTGCTCATAAAATGAAATTAAATTTATGTACAGTTGCAAAGTTGTGCTGCTGCAAAAGTGCGCGGCATAAAACTTTCAAAAGCAGTCAGGATGCGGCTAAACATGCGGAGCAGGAGGAGGCTACGGAATGCGGGGAGTGCTGCGAGTGCTGCGGGTGCTGGTAGGGGCGATGGGGTGCATCCTGACAGCAGCGCGTAATTCAAAATTCGAGTGGCAGTCGCTGGCAGCGCCTAAACCAAAGGCAGGATGCGCTCTGTGGCAACAAACGCGACTTCCGTGTTGCGGCGAGCTCGCAACAGAGCTGAAAGCCAAAACCGAGCTCTACTCGACTGAGAACTGTGAACTGCGAGCTGCGAACCGAGAACTGCGAACTGCGAAGTGAGAGAGGAGTTTGGCCGGCCAAGTGGGCAATCTGTTTACGCCTATTTTGACTTCACTCTTTTGCCAGTTGCAATTTGATTTGGGTGTACACCAACACACACACACACACACACACACACAGGCAGAGCACCCACTCAGAGCACTCGCGTTTGGTGCGGTTGCGTTAAAAATAGCTTTTCATTTAGAAATTTGCCGCAGGCCAGAGCTCACTGTCTTAGGCAGCAGCTGGCCGTATTGACAGTTTCTCACTCCCATTGTTGTTGCTTTAAATTCGTTTTAGACCTTGGCCGGCTCGTGCTTAAGTGTGCCTTGCGGCTAAGGCTGAGCACGGCGCAAACTCTTGAAATCGGCTTTGATGCGTTTTTCCAATTAAGTTATTGGAATCTTGGTTAAGAATTTCAACTGTGGTTTTAGGCAGCGGCATCGGCATCGGCATCGACGTCGACGTCGACGTCGTCCTCGACCCCTGCCCAAAGGTTGAGCGCTTGCCGTCGATACCTATCACAGAATCGATTTTGCTCTAGCTACAGAGCAAACGATTTTAATTGAATTTGTGCAAGAGCAGCTGGCAAATATGCTGTAGTGTCTGTCTGTCTGTCTGTCCGTGGCGTTGTCCCAGCCACGCTCTCAATTAAATCGTAAATAACTGACGATTAATATGATAAATCGAACATGCTACTCAAACTAATTGCAACACAAAGTACTTGAACGCTCGATTGTTGCAGTTGCAGTAATCAAATGAATATTGAATAACCTTAAGGATTGCAATTAAGATGCATATTAAGTAATTGAAATATCAGATAACACTTTTATGAAGCAAGTTAATCTATTAAAATATAATACAATACGTAAAAATTCGTAAATATACAAAGAAACTTATTCACAAAATTCCTGTTTTATGTCAACGATCCATGGGGTCAATTGCCCTACCGAATGGCAAACTAATTGCTTTAAGTGCAGCTGGGCGATAACTAACTGCAAGTTGCAAAACTCTTGTTAAATTGCTAAACATTACACACAGGAGTATTAAATCAGTTGACAGCTCAGTGTGGGGTAAATATCAAGGAGTTGATAATATGGACAAAGAAACCAGTTGGTTGTATGATGCTGAAAAATCTAATTGGCCAACTTTTGTTTATCGATGGACAAAAGTGCAGGACGTATCGACACTCCAAAACACACACAGAGAGAGAGAGAGACACTCAGAGACAATCAGAGACATTGAGACACACCCAAGTTGGCATTGTAATTACGTTTATTGCATATCCATGCAATCAAAAAAATGCTGTCGTCCTTTTCGGCTAGCTTGTTTTGGCTTGCCAGCTGTGCTGTGTGCCGAAAAAGACGAAAAATTGAAATACGAAAATGCCCTACACTTGGGCCAGACAGTTGGCTAAACGACACACACACACACACTCGCATGCACACACACAGAGCCAATGGGACGTGCATATTTCTGGCATTGCCGGCATGCCAGTGCGCCGAAGTATGCAACCTTTTATAATCACAGCTATGTAGAAGCCGAGATTATCCCGTAAGGAGCCCAGAGCAAGGCGCACAAGTGGACAAGTAAAGAGTATAAAAGAAATATGAGAGCCAAGAGGATAGATAGAAAATGTGAAATATTTACTGCATTTATATATAAATATTTAAAAGACATTTATACATACATATATCTACTCAAATTTATATAAATCTGTATGTATGTATGTATGTGCCACCAAATTAAGCAAGTTGTCAACTTCTTTCACTTATTTTCTTGCTGCAGCTTTCCAGCTGCAGTCGAGATCAACTATCAGAGAAGCCAATTGCACCCTCGCCCCGTCCGCCTCTCATAGGCAACCCCATGGCATCGCTGGACTCTGACGCACACCTTTTTGTGGCATTCAGGCCACAAAAGTATGTGATTGGGGTAAAATATGTTGCCAGTTATGCGACTGCTCTCTCAATGTAGGTATGAATGAATGTATATAAATATTTGTGCACTAGCGGGTGAGTGGGGCTGTGGCTAGCAGGGGTAGCAGCATATGACAACCAGACAGGCAGTCAGAAATGTTCGTTAGGTCAGGCGAGGCCTTGCTGTTGTTGTTGTTGCTTTTTATTTATTTTTTATTTCTGTTTCGCAATCATAAATATTTCATACGCAATTTCATAAGATTGGACGAGGGGCCTATCCTTTATAGTAAATCAAAGTGGCTTTAAAAATTTTATGCTCCGTCTGGACATAAAAATTTCATATTGACAAATACACAAACACACCCACACGCACCCGCACACACACACACACACACACACACACACACACACACACACACAGTTGAGCACATTTTGTAAGTCTGCAAGTTACATTTGTATTGTTGAATTCTCAAATAATTTACTTTTGCATGACTCTTGTGCAATTTGATTTTAATTCAATTAGAGTGTTTTGCAACAGAATTTTCCTGGAAAAACTCCATGTCTATTTATGTGTCTACATTGGTTTACCCACTTATTTCATGCGTGAGGATGTCAACAAGCTCGTCGACTGCATTTGATAAGAGTTTCACTCGAATCTATTTGCCATTGTCTGTGTGAGTAGATATATGTATGTATGTATGTATGTGTGTTTCACTATTATTACTCAAGCACATTTACTCCAGCGTTTAGATCGCTTCGTTTACACATTTTTCAACGCATTTTCACCAACATACATCACTGCTAGTTGCTGGCTGCTGTTGTTGTTGACTTTTTGCTTTTATTCGCCTCGTGTATTGCTGTAAGACAAAGGCAAAACAGCGTTTGTATGTGTTGTCAAGATGACAGAACGTTTTGCCAACGTATAAGTAGCCCGACGACGAGCACACTCCCTACTGGCACTCTATATCCTTCACATGCTTGAAACGCCCTGTCATTTGCACTAGAGCTAACCGAAGCCGCCATAGAGCCTCTGCCTCAACGCGACTCAGAGCAGTGTGGGTAATCACACTAGCTGAGAATTCTATACAGACTTTGTTGTGCTCATTTAACACTGGAGTACAAATACGATTTTCAAAACGCTATTGACAATCCCAAGCAAGTACTTTCGCTTCATAACGCAATCCTCCATGTGAATTGTTCTTCTGCAATTATTGGATTTACTAAATATCCAAGAGTGTATTTATATTATGTAATTCTAAAGAATTTATTTCTTTTACGAAATGTAATGAGTTTTAATTTATTTTTATTTTTTTCCCCAGTATCCATTGGCTTTGAATTCGAAATTGTGTAAGTGTGTGTCTATTAAAGCTGGACAAATTTTATCCGGCAGCCTGAAGCGCTCTGAACTTTGAACTACCTTGGTTTGTATATAGAGTATTCAAAGTATGAGCATATTTGTTTCCATTAATTTTCCATGCGATTTATTTTAAATAAATCATCCAACAAAATATTCGGTTACTTTTGTATGAACAATTATGAGAACAATTATGATTTTACTATATTTTTATGAAATACTTTAATTATTTCTATATGATGTCATTATCTAACAGAAGAATGATGTCTAGCTTTAAGCACATATCTTTTTAAGTACTGTCGTATTTATGCTGCATCTATGCTTGTCGTTTATTGCCAATATTTTCATTTAGCCAATATTTTCTAATACTTCTACATTTTTTGATGGAGTTTAATGAAAATTTCTATATTATGCTGGAAATGGCAGGAAAGCAAGCTTCTTCTTTTCCAGTATTTGCAATTCAATCTTGATTTGATTTGATTTTTCATAATTCTACATACATATATAAGAGTTCTGCATCAAGGAGCCAATGCAAATCAATACAAATAATCTATGTAGGTATGGAAATGAAGGTAAGACCTTATATTCATTTGTTGAGTTAATTGCAGCAGAGCTGCTTTGTGCTTAGTGCTTCCATTAGACATTGCCAAGTTATTTGCTTCGTTCTGTCAGAGGCAAGAATGCAATGCCATTCTCAGTATTTTCCATACTTTCCTCAACTTAGATTGCATGCATGCGGATCCACCCGACTAGGAGATACTATGAACCAAGAGCTAATTTGAATTGCCAATTTGGAATAATAATAAACAAAAGTTAGCGATAGAAGAAAAGCTTGCCTATGATAAATTAACGGAGATATTTACAGATTCGATGTCTTTCTGCTAACGGACTGATATACAGGCAAGACAGATATAAACGCATTCAATTCATTGCACTGACTATGAATATATATATTCTATGGGGTCTGCCAAGACGCCTTCTATATATTTTCCAACCATAATACCCGAGCTCTATCATTTTCACATCTTGAGTAAAGTCTTAGCCAGGCTTTTTACTATGGCAAACATTTTTTTTCTAAATAAATAAATACCTTGAAAATCGTCTTACTCGCTTCGCTCGGCACTCAACACTTTTTTCTTATTTTTGCTGTTGAATTTATTCATATACTGAATAAAAATATTTAATAAATCTTACTTTAATTCTTCGTCCGTTTTTCATTTTAGTTTACGACTCTAAGCTGCATACATTCTTGATCTTTAATGACATTTAAGTTATAAATTCTAGGCATAGAGGAAATTTCGTAAAATATATCAACGGCTGAGAAAACAAAACTTATTCCATATGCAAATACCAGGCGAAGGGCGAGCACTGAGAGTTGTGTAAAGAGCTTTAAATAATTGTTAAATGTCCAATTCTGCTATGCATGGCACAGAGAATAAATTCTAAATGCAACTATTTAATAAGCATCAAGATGACCAGCCATAAATAATCCATGCAGCATTTACAACTTATCCAATGGGCCAGGTCTAAGTTAAAGCTTTTAATTGCTTTGTTGTTTTTCGGACGATGCTGCATACTAGAAGAGTTTCGGCTCGACTCCTATGTGTGTGTGTGTGTGTGTGTATGCATGCTAATACATACACATACATATGCATATACATACATAAGTACATACATTATTATTCAGTCCAAAAATGCAAAAACAATGCCCAAACGGAAGTGTCAGTGTCTGGTACACTGTCTACTCAAGTGAGCTAACAGAAGAAAAAACAGAGAACAACAACAACAACAGTAGCAACATCAAGCTGTTATGCTATGCTCCCAAGCTCCAACACATACCCACGTGGTTGATGTACAGCACAATGCAGCAGCGAGTCGCATTCTGCTCAAGCGTTTATGCGGACCTTCTACTGCATGGGCCAACTGGAGGCGGTTGTTGTTGTTGTTGTTGTTATGAATACGATGTGCCTCGTTTTGTGCTGATGACGGGAGGGCGGGGAGGCAGCGGGGCAGCGGGGAAGCGGGACAGCGTGCCTGTGTGTGGGGGCAAGGGTTAAGCTGCCGGCAGGCTTGTGCAAGCGCCGGCTGAGCCATACAACTTATTTATGTTGGCTGCGTTGCGGCAAGTCCGTTCCTCTGCACAGTTGTCTGGCCCAGTGTCCGGCCGTCTGACTGATTTGCATCTTCTGTGCATGCCTACTTACATACTGATGCATATATACTGCAGCAATATGCACACACGCACCCACCCACACTCACACACATACACATACACGCATACAGCAATTATTGCACTTATAAAATTCTGCTCCTTGCAGAGCAGACTCCCAGTGTGCGGATGTGTGTGTGTGCGTGTGTGTGTCGCTTCTTTTTGGTCTGGTTTTTGGCAAGTCTCGTTGGCCCGGCCTCGCCCGGCTTGGCCTGGCTAGCCACCCACAGCCACCACCACTGACAATTATCGTTGAATGTGCCGCCACCACCATCATCAGCTTTCGGCCGCCCCCCGCTCTTTGCGGCTGTCCTTTGAGCGGGTCATAATTCCTAAAATGTTTTGACTTGCACTCGCCCTTTATGCTGATTTACTGGCAGTTGCGGTTTTGTGACAAATCTGTTTTGCTCACTTGATGTGATTCCCTCACCCCCCAGATCGCTCTACTGCTGCTGCTGCCGTTGCTGCTGCTGCTGCGGCTTAAAGTTGCCCCAAAAAGTTTCGTTATTTCGAGCAATTTAGTTTTGTATTTATACACGCTACAGCCTAGTCATTAGGCATAAATCAGACGACACAGCATATATGTTAACTTGAGTGCAAAACTCATTAAATCACGCAATGTTCGGGGCGTGGCCAAAGTTTAAAGGGCGTTTACGCATAGATTAGGACAAGCGTTACGCCCTTGAGCCTGTATAGCTTTTTAATGGGCTTGAGCTTATAATATATGTATTTCCCAATCATACATACATACATACATATGTACTGAATGAATAATAAATAGTAAATCTGATTGCGCTGGCCCCTCGCACTGAGTATAAATCTTAAACAGAGCCAAAGGCAGCGCCTGCATTTAATTCAATTTTCGCCTGCCCCAGCTGCAGCTGGAGCTTTGGCTCATTATAATTGTGGCCCCAACAACAGTCGCAAGATGGTCAAACAATAAAAAGCGACCTAATTGCCATGGCTACGCAGGCATTTGCTAATTTATCGTCTTGCAACCTGATGAAGCTCATGCCCAGGCAGCCAGCCAGTCAGCCAGCCAAGCAGCTAGTTACAACACTGCGGCTGGGCCATGGGCCTGGGGCCAGCACGTAGCCTCAACGGCGGCTCAAGGTCGTCGCTGTGGTCGTTATCGTCGCTGTTCCAATAATAAATGTATGCATTTTTATACCCTGAACCCATTGAAAATGGGAAATCAGGGTATAATGGTTTTGTGAAAAAGTATGTAACGGGCAGAAGGAGGCGTGGCAGACCCCACAAAGTATATATATTCTTGATCAGCGCGACAAGCTGAGTCGATATAGCCCTGTCCGTCTGTCCGTCCGTCCGTCCGTCCGTCCGTCCGTCCGTCCGTCCGTCCGTATGAGTGCGTCGATCTCAGAAGTTACAAAAGCTAGAGAGCTGAAATTTTGCATGCATACTCGTGTGTACCATACGCAGTACGAGTTTGCTTTATTTTTTCGATAAATCGTCCGATAACTTTTTTATCGAGAATAATCGAAAAATTGATTTTGTTTTCTTAGCCTAATTTGAACATGTTTAGACCTGGAGTCTTCAAATTTGCGTTGTATATAAAGTTAATCGATACAAAGATTTTGTAGTTTACAGATTTTGGATACCACGCCCCCTTCGCCCCCAATTTGTAAAAAACGCATTTCAAGTACTAGAGACTTGTGCTTTGGAATGTACACACATTTTTAACATATGATTACGCTCTGAAAGTTTCATTAAGATTGTATGTCTACAAAAGAAATTATTCAACAAATAAATTCTCATTATATTGCCCACACTGCAGCGCAGCCCAAGCGCAGTCGCTGCTTACTGCGCAGTCAGCGGAGCGCAGGCTTATGCGTGCGTGTGAATTCATGTGTATGTATGTGTGCATAAAAGGAGTGCAGAATGATTAGAATATCAGCTTAGAGGGTTCAGGGTATCTCCTAGTCGAGCAGTCTCGACTGGAGCCTTCTTTCTTGTTTTTTTCTTATACCCTTTAGCATAGGGTATGTTGCTTTCGAGCTGGATGTTGCTTTTGAAGCATGTGTTAAGTATCCTTCTTTCTCCATCTTGTTCCATTATATCCCTAAGCATATATGCTAGTGAATTTGGGTTAAGCTGGCAAATCAGACAAATTATATTATTTATACATATTCTGCTTTTACTTAGGCTATATAAAGCTCATGCTTAAGTTTATATTTAATGGCAATCGATTTGTTTTTAAATAATATTCAAATTAAAATATATAAAAATAAGATAAAAATAAAAATTAAAATGGTATAGAAAATAATAGGATTATTGGTATCATTAAATTAATTAATTAAGACAAATAAAAAATTATAACAAAAATGAATTGAACAAGGAACAAATATTTTAAATATTGTATAAAAATTAAACGAAAAATAATTAACAATTAACAAATATTATAAAAAAATATATATGATATATATAAAAATATAAAATACTTAATGCAAAAAATGAATAAACATAAAATGTAAAAAATACTATTTTTTATAATTTATAATAATTTTTTTTTTTTTTAATTTATTTAATTTATTTATTTTTTTCATTTTATTTTTATTAAATTTTTACTTCAGTTGCCTCGACTATCTAATTCAACAGAACATCATACAGACTTTTGAAAGAATTACAAATAAAGAATGGAGGAAACATATCAATATGAAACTTTTATATGTATATATTTGCTTAGAAGAGCAACAGCTCAGTTCACCTTTAAGTCGACCAAGTCTCTTCATGCTAGATTACCACTACCACTAGAGCAACTTGTTGTGCTTGTTGTTGTTGCTTGGGACATAGACTGAAAAAGAAGTTATAAAAGTCGACTGCGCGCATGGCCAGGGTGTTAATTCAAGTAAATTGCTGCAGGGTAATTGTCGTAGTAAATGTGCGCGTGCATCTGTGAGCGTGTGTGTGTTTATCTGTGGTCGATG